AGATGAAAGTCCACATGTGGAATAGTCAATTAAAAGTCACACTTTTATGTTTTTTATATCCAAACATGAGAATTTCAAATGCCACAACAAGCCCGATTTTCTGAATCATAACAACTTAATGAATGTTTTTTTAGTATATACCATAAAAAAAATAACAAATTCTCAATATATAGTCTTTTTAGATATTGATTAGAGACTCCTCCATCACCACCCCACACCCCCCCTAACACACTGAGTGTGAATGGAGGAGAAGGAATAAGAAAAAAATAATAAAAAAAAAATTGGCCAATAGTGAGGGAAATGGGCAAAAGAGGGGTGGGAAAAGGGGGTCTCAAACATTTTTGATTCTTTTTATTTCAATAATACCATCATTTTTAATTTTAAAACTTAAGAGGTTTTTTTTTTCCACCATTCCATCCACCCCTACTTCAACCACCATTGCAACCAGTCTCCTTCCATTACACATCGCGCCACCATTCATAGACATCGCGAAGTTAATCTCAAAAGTAGCTGTTCACAGACGATGGATTTGTGAAAATTTATGATATTATGGTGGATGTAGTTGCTTTTCCATCATTACCACATCCCGAAGTAATCTCAAAAGATGAGTGGTTCGACACGATGGATTGGAAAATGGTTATGATTTATGGTGGATGAGTTTGCTTTCCATCATAACACATTCCGAAGTTAATTTCTCAAAAGTGAGTGCGTTCACGACGGATGGATTTTGTAAAATGTATGATTATATGGTGGAGTGTAGTTGCAGGTGTAAAGGAGGAAAGAGGCGACAAAGAGAGTATAACAGTGGAAAGAGGAGACGCTAATGATGGAAGATGGTTGTGATATATTTTAGAATTATGGATTAAGTGGAAGAAGATAAGAGTATTATGATATTTTTTATTTTAAGATAAAATTGTATTAAGAAAATTTTTTAGTAAGTGTTGAACTGAGAGGAATTAGTGCATGAAAATAAAATTATCCAAAATTGCAAAAATGCATATTTCAATTCCATGACATGATCACCCAAACAAACACAACCCAAAGTCCTTATTCAATAAACTTATCTTAGACCATCTCCAATTCATATATGTACCTTTTCATTAAATTAAATTTGATAAAAAAATATTCCAACGATTTTATCAAATAAATATCAAATGAAGGAAGCCATACTTTTTTTAACCAAATTTAAAGAAACGTTTAACCTTTCATCAAATTTCGCAGGTGACCATTGGTAAAATGGTGGCCATTGCCTAAAATATTGGCTGATCAACCGAGTGAACAACCAAATTGAGAAAGATTTGATGAAAAATTACTATAGACCAGATGACCGGTTGGATTTGATGAAACAATTAAAATGTATCATATATCAGATCAAATTTTTATTCAAATTTGATAAAAATTTTGATGAAGCATTAAAGAATTATTCTTAACGACACCATACGGTGGAAGTTTTAAAATACAAAATTCTTGAGGCATAATTGTGTTTCCAAAGTGTATTAAGACAAGACAAATCCAGTGTGGTGCAACATTTTACAAAATTGATAATCAAAAATATAAGTTGAAAAACACTTTTCGAGATAATAAAAAAACACTACCACTTGGTTTTTAAGTATTTTCTTTAATTATGATGCGGCAGGCTTAGAACTGGTAATGGCTGTTTAATTGATTATAACAGAGCTGGCTATATTAAATTCTCAACTGAGAACCACAGAACCATAGAAACCAAGTAAATACACTTTACATAAAACAAAGAAAAATACTAAGAGCTGCATTGCATCTGAAGAAAATATAACAACAGCAGTGACAAAAAATATGATAGAAATCATCCCCTCGTAAAAAGAAACAAGAAAAATTTTTCAACAATCTGGTCTCGTTAATACGTACTAGGCAGTGAGAGCCGGAGAAGGGGTATACCAGCCATGGTGAATTTCAACAGCCTTCTTTCTCCTTGCAAGCCTAGACTTCCTTCTTGCTCCAGTGTTCTGTGCAACGTTCCCACTTTCACCGCCTTATCAATAATTGAATAGGCCTCTGCAATCAATTGCTCGATTGCAAAGTACTTCTTCGGGTTGTGCATCGGATTTTTCCTGAGTACATCTAGTGCTTCCAAGACCTGAAAATGAAAAGTAGTATCGAAACCCACAAATTAAGATTTACACCTTTCCTCAAGTTTGTGGTTTCTCTTGCTTACTATTTGATAAAGAACAGAATAAGATAGTTGGATGGAAATGCAAAAGAAAAAAACACACATTCGGCCAAAAAAAAAAAAAATGAAACAACTTTAGATGTACTGCAACATAAGTATAAGAAAAAAAAATTGCTCATGATTGGCCTTTCACGTGGGCTTTGATAACATAAATTCTCTTACATTCCGGTCAATGGTCTAATTTCTTTCATAACTTTTCAACCCTTCCACTTCATTCTAAGTCTTCAAATGGGAATTAACTCATTTCCCGTAAATGATTCAGCAACCTTCCAGTCCAATTTATACTACTGCAAAGAATTTCACAAATACTAATGAAAAATTATCACATAGGGTCTGCCCCATGTCCTATGTGGTATGCCTTTGCAATTCTACTGGCTACATACCATTATTTCTTATTTTTTCTACTATGTATTACATAAAGCAACCAATAGAATTGGGGAGGGCACACAACCTAGTTGGAATTCCTGGAAGACAAGATAATTCCTTCAAGTACTTATAATTTCACTACTTGCATTTCTTTTGCTTAAACCAAAGTGGTTACTATTATCGTTAAAAAAAAATACTATATATTTCTATTTTTATTAAATGCACTGGCTACATAGCTCAATAAACTGAAAGTTTGAGAAACTGAAACAGTATTCAAAATCTCTCCAAGCTTATAAGAATTAGTCCGACTCACTCCTTTTATAGGGTATATCACAAAAAATCTTACTTGCATTTTAGAACCCTCGTTTCCAAATAATCCCCCACAATAATTTGCAATTATCTTACCACAAATTTATCAATGAACACCACATATTTTCTACAACATGGACTAACACTACTGGTGTAATCTTGAATAGGGGAAAAGTAGGCAACTCTCTACAATCAATGAAAGAAAGTCTAATCTAGCTTAGAAGGACATGCTGTAGAACTCTTGAAATAGAAGCTATGTTGCCTCAGCATCATATAATGCCATTGCCATTTGATTATGGGAACAATCATGCATACTGTACAAAAATCTTGCATCTACCAATTGATATTGTTGTATCAAGAATTAAGTTCATGTATAACCATTAAACAAGATAGTTTGCTAGATTCTGGCCCCAACAACAACAAAATTTCAAGACAGGCTATAATATTTTATAAGCGGCAATAGCAGTGTGTCAAGGATTACAAGGTTTGCAACAAGCTGAACTTCCTTAACTACAAAATAATATGTTAAAGGTTAAGTTGGCAGAAAAGTCTTTCCAGATTAACCCAAGAACTTGACCAAAATCAATTGGATGACATAACACAAAAAAGTTTCTTAACACTATGTATCTTGATTTGTTAAGGGAAAAAAATGAAACAAATTACTTATACCCAATTTGTTCTTTTTTTATATAAGGGGTACCTACGCATAAAATTAAAAATAAAAAATAAAAAATAAAATAAAAACAGGATTTTCAAAACAAATGCTTATTCAATTTCTTGTAATTTCTCAGCCAACCAAACAAAAGTAAGAATTAGCTTCTCTCATTTCTTTCCTTTCCTTTCTTTTCCCCTTACTTTTCCTTCCCCTTATCACAAATTCAAGATCCAAGTTTTTAGCAAAAGGAAAGCCACCAAAATTACCAATTCATCATTATAACAAACGCGCACAAGTTATTCAATCACTCTAATTGCATAAAGCAAATAAGCCAAAACCCCAATAATCTACAACACCCCCCCCCCCCCTCCCCACACACCACACACGCACACAAAAGCAAATTCAATACATTATCATCAAGAAGCCTAAATATGAATTCAAAACTGAAATAACCCTGTAAAACTCAACATAATCAAATACCACTTTGTCTACAATTAAGAAACAAGCAAACCCACAAATAAAATACCTTCTTCATCCGAGTCTTGACCTCGGATTTCCGAGCTTTGTTGTAGACTACGCCTCTTCTTGCTTGACGAGCCTCTCTTCGCAGCCGAATCGGCCTTCTTATTCGGAGCAGCCTCGCAAACAATCGAGTGACGAGTCGGCCTTCACAACAGGGCCATCGAAATCAAAACCTGAAAATATACCAAAAAATAATTTTTTAAAACTATTTAAGAACAAGGGTTTTGTGATTTGAGCAGAGAAAAGCCAAATACAGACAAATGGTTTTTGAGTAGTACCTGTGGAGAAGACATGTGAGAAGTGGTGGGAAGAGAAGCTTAGAGACCTGAGTGATGAAAGTGGGTTTGCGGTGAGTAGAAGAATAAGGTAATTGAGGGATAGGGTTTTGAAATTGGATGGAAGAGCCCAGCATTGTACAACTACAGCCATCTCCTCTCTCCTCTCTCCTCTCTCTCTCTAAAGAATCGGAGAAGAAGAAGAAGCGCCGATGAAACGTTTCGCTCTCCGAGTCTCCCTGTTTATCTTATCCCACAGCGAAAGAAGGTGCGAATACGGGCAGTTTGGATTACGGTTATTCAGCATCCTATCAACGTTCCAAGATCCAATTTTGCCCAAAAGAATTGCTACGTTATAGCCTCTCCAATGGTTATTGCTATATTAGAGCATCTTCAATGATGTTGCTATTTTGTTATTGTTATTGCTATAATTTGATAAATAAATAGTGTTAGTTTTGTCAAATTATAGTAATGTGCCCTACACCATGGTCATTTGTTATTTTGACAAATCTCAACCAACTTCCCTCCAAGTTTGTAGGTGTTGTTGGAATATAGGTTTTTGTGATTTTATTTTTATTTTATTTTTGTTTTTGTGACATTTTTTTACCCGTTTGTTACAAAGAATTATATATTTATATTATTCCCAACTAGACAAATATAAAAAATTAAAAAAATGAAAAATTAGAAAAAAAAAATAAAATTGTTGATTAATTTCACCCCACCAAAAAACATATCACTACATATTTAATAATTTTTTTTAACTACACATGAAAAATAAACAATCACCAATTACCCACCACCAACAACCAACGCATCCAAATTAAAAATTAAAAATTACAAAATTAAATGACATTACTAAATTAAAAAATAAACAATCACCAATTATCTGTAATTATTCATCAGGAGGCATGGGAAATAGTAATTTGGGCTACTGACATTTGAAGACCACTTGGCGAAATCTCATTTTTCGGCATTGATGTAATGTACTCCATTTACACTACCACTACCACAACTTCACCACTAATCTCTTTCGCCATCCCCATCACCACCACCATCATCTCTTATCCACCATCTTCACTACTACTGTCGCTCCCTTTCCTCTACCACAAAAAATTAGTTCATGATTTTTAGTAACAAAAAAAAATAGGCCTCAAAAAAATGTTTTTCATTGACTATAGAAAATTAACTTTTATTTTAGTGGAAAATATTTTTCATTAAAATATTACCCCTACTTCTACCAAATAAAAAATAATAATATTTTTTTTCATTAAAATAAAAATGAAACAAATAAATTTGCAATCTTAGTAACTAAAAAAAAAAGGAATTTTTTTAACAAAATTTATTAACTACAAAAAAATATATATTTTAACAAAAAATAAATTTTTTTGACGATGTCAACCCCTGCAAAAAAAAATAAAATAAAATAAACGACATTATTTTATTATTTAAATTTCATTTGTGATTAAAAAAAAAAAAAAATTTTTATTCCTCCTCTTTTTTTTTCCCATTCCCGCTCCCTACCCCCCCTCCTCTTTTTCCCATTCCTGCCCAAAAAATCCCTAATCTCAAACCCAAAAATCCCCAATCTCTACTTACCCACCCCCTCTCTCTCTCTCTCTCTCTCTCTCTCTCTCTCTATCGCGATCGACGGCGAGCGGCGTCGGAGCAGCGTCGTCAATTACCCTATCCCTCAATTACCCTTATTCTTCTACTCACCCCAAACCCACTTCATCACTCAGGTCTCTAAGCTTCTCTTCCACCACTTCTCACAATGTCTTCTCCACAGGTACTACTCAAAAACCCATTTCTCTGTATTTGCCTTTTCTCAGCTCAAATCACAAAACCCTTGTTCTTAAATAGTTTTAAAAAATTGTTTTTTGGTAATATTTTCAGGTTTGATTTCGATGAGCCCTGTTGTGAGGCCGACTCGTCACTCGATTGTTTGCGAGGCTGCTCCGAATAAGAAGGCCAATTCGGCTGCGAAGAGAGCTCGTCAAGCAGAGAAGAGGCGTGTCTACAACAAAGCTCGGAAATCCGAGGTCAAGACTCGGATGAAGAAGGTATTTTATTTGTGGGTTTGCTTGTTTCTTAATTGTAGACTAAAGTGGTATTTGATTATGTTGAGTTTTACAGGGTTATTTCAGTTTTGAATTCATGTTTAGGCTTCTTGATGATAATGTATTGAATTTGCTTTTGTGTGTGTGTGTGCGTGTGGGTGGGTGGTTGGGGGGGCGCTTGGGGAAGTAGATTATTGGGGGGTTTTGGCTCATTTGCTTTATGCAATTAGAGTGATTGAATAATTGTGCATTTGTTATAATGATGAATTGTAGTTTTGGTGGCTTTCCTTTTGCTAAAAACTTGGATCTTGAATTTGTTATAAGGGGAAGGAAAAGTAAGGGGAAAAGAAAGGAAAAGGAAATGAAATGAGAGAAGCTAATTTCTTACTTTTGTTTGGTTGGCTGAGAAAATTACAAGAAATTGAATAAGCATTTGTTTGAAAATCCTGTTTTTATTTTTTATTTTTTATTTTTTTATTTTTAAATTTTATGCGTAGGTACCCCTTATATAAAAAAAGAACAAATTGGGTATAAGTAATTTTGTTTCATTTTTTTCCCTTAACAAATCCAAGATACATAGTGTTAAGAAACTTATTTGTGTTATGTCATCCAATTGATTTTGTCAAGTTTCTTGGGTTAATCTGGAAAGACTTTTCTGCCAACTTAACCTTTAACATATTATTTTGTAGTTAAGGAAGTTCAGCTTGTTGAAACCTGTAATCCTTGACACACTGCTATTGCCGCTTATAAAATATTATAGCCTGTCTTGAAATTTTGTTGTTGTTGGGCCAGAATCTAGCAAACTATCTTGTTTAATGGTTATACATGAAACTTAATTCTTGATACAACAATATCAATTGGAATGCAAGATTTTTGTACAGTATCCATGATTGTTCCCATATCAAATGGCATGGCATTATATGATGCTGAGGCAACATAGCTTCTATTTACAAGAGTTCTACAGCATGTCCTTCTAAGCTAGATTAGACTTTCTTTCATTGATTGTAGAGAGTTTGCCTACTTTTCCCCTATTCAAGATTACACAGTAGTGTTAGTCCATGTTGTAGAAAATATGTGGTGTTCATTGATAAATTTGTGGTAAGATAATTGCGAAATTATTGTGGAGGGATTATTTGAAACGAGGGTTCTAAATGCAAGTAAGATTTTTGTGATATACCCTATAAAAGGAGTGAGTCGGAACTAATTCTTATAGCTTGGAGAGATTTTAATATCTGTTTCCAGTTTCTCAAACTTTCAGTTTATTGGAGCTATGTAGCCAGTGCATTTAATAAAAATAGAAAATATATAGTATTTTTTTTTAACGATAATAGTAAGCCACTTTGGTTTAAGCAAAAGAAATGCAAGTAGTGAAATTATAAGTACTGAGGAATTATCTTGTCTTCCAGGAATTCCAACTAGGTTGTGTGCCCTCCCAATTCTATTGGTTGCTTTATGTAATACATATGAGAAAAAATAAGAAATAATGGGTATGTAGCCAGTAGAATTGCAAAGGCATACCACATAGGACATGGGGCAGACCTATGTGATAATTTTTCATTAGTATTTGTGAAATTCTTGCAGTAGTATAAATTGGACTGGAAGGTTGCTGAATCATTTACGGGAAATGAGTTAATTCCCATTTGAAGACTTAGAATGAAGTGGAAGGGTTGAAAAGTTATGAAAGAAATTAGACCATTGACCGGAATGTAAGAGAATTTATGTTATCAAAGCCCAGTGAAAGGCCATCATGAGCAATTTTTTTTTCTTAATACTTATGTTGCAGTACATCTAAAGTTGTTTCATTTTTTTTTTTTTTGGCCAAATGTGTGTTTTTTTCTTTTGCATTTCCATCCATATATCTTATTCTGTTCTTTCAATAGTAAGCAAGAGAAACCACAAACTTGAGGAAAGGTGTAAATCTTAATTTGTGGGTTTCGATACTACTTTTCATTTTCAGGTCTTGGAAGCACTAGATGTACTCAGGAAAAAATCCGATGCACAACCCGAAGAAGTACTTGCAATCGAGCAATTGATTGCAGAGGCCTATTCAATTATTGATAAGGCGGTGAAAGTGGGAACGTTGCACAGGAACACTGGAGCAAGAAGGAAGTCTAGGCTTGCAAGGAGAAAGAAGGCTGTTGAAATTCACCATGGCTGGTATACCCCTTCTCCGGCTCTCACTGCCTAGTACGTATTAACGAGACCAGATTGTTTGAAAAATTTTCTTGTTTCTTTTTACGAGGGGATGATTTCTATCATATTTTTTGTCACTGCTGTTGTATATTTTCTTCAGATGCAATGCAGCTCTAGTATTTTTCTTTGTTTTATGTAAGTGTATTTACTTGGTTTCTATGGTTCTGTGGTTCTCAGTTGAGAATTTAATATAGCCAGCTCTAGTTATAATCAATTAAACAGCCATTACCAGTTCTAAGCCTGCCGCATCATAATTAAAGAAAATACTTAAAAACCAATGTGGAGTGTTTTTTATTATCTCGAAAAGTGTTTTCAACTTATATTTTTTGATTATCAATTTTGTAAAATGTTGCACCACACTGGATTTTGTCACTTGTCTTAATACACTTTGGAAACACAATTATGCCTCAAGAATTTTGTATTTTAAAACTTCCACCGTATGGTGTGGTTAAGAATATATTTAATGCTTCATCAAAATTTTTATCAAATTTGAATAAAAATTTGATCTGGTATGATACATTTTAATTGTTTCATCAAATCCAACCGGTCATCTGGTCTATAGTAATTTTTCATCAAATCTTTCTCAATTTGGTTGTTCACTCGGTTGATCAGCCAATATTTTAGCAATGGCCACCATTTTACCAATGGTCACCTGCGAAATTTGATGAAAGGTTAAACGTTTCTTTAATTTGGTTAAAAAAATATGGCTTCCTTCATTTGATACTTATTTGATAAAATCGTTGGAATATTGTTTTTATCAAATTTAAATTTAATGAAAAGTACATATATGAATTGGAGATGGTCTAAGATAAGTTTATTGGAATAAGGACTTTGGGTTGTGTTTGTTTGGGGATCATGTCATGGAATTGAAATATGCATTTTTGCAATTTGGATAATTTTATTTTCATGCACTAATTCCTCTCAGTTCAACACTTACTAAAAAATTTTCTTAATACAATTTTATCTTAAAATAAAAATATCATAATACTCTTATCTTCTTCCACTCAATCCATAATTCTAAAATATCACAACCATCTTCCATCATTAGCGTCTCCTCTTTCCACTGTCATGCTCTTTTGTCGCCTCTTTCCTCCTTCACCTGCAACTACATCCACCATAAATCATACATTTTCACAAATCCATTGTCGTGAACCACTCACTTTTGAGATTAACTTCGGATGTGTATGATGGAAAGCAACTACATCCACCATAAATCATACATTTTCACAAATCCATCGTCGTGAACCACTCACTTTTGAGATTAACTTCGGATGTCTATGATGAGTGGCGGCGATGGTGGTAATGGAAGGAGACTGGTTGCAATGGTGGTGAAGTAGGGGTGGATGGATGGGGAAAAAAAAAACCCTTAAGATTTTAAAATTAAAAATGATGGTATTATTGAAATAAAAAGATCAAAAATGTTTGAGACCCCCTTTCCCACCCACTCCCTTTGACCCCATTTCCCTCCTATTGGCCAATTTTTCTTTTTTATTTTTTTTCTTTTCCTTCTCCTCCATTCACCACTCGCCACGTGTGTGTGGGGGGTGGTGGGGGTGGTGATTGGAGGGAGTCTCTATCAATACTCTAAAAAGATATATATTGAGAATTTTTATTTTTTATGTATATACTAAAAAAACATTCATTAAGTGTATGAATTCAGAAGAATCGGTGTTGCAATTTGAAATCTCATGTTTGGATATAAAAAAACATAAAAATGGACTTTTGAATTGACTATTCCACATGGGGACTATTCTTATGAAATATTTTGAAATGATGGTGATTATACTATACTCTTATTTATTTAGATGGACTAGATGAATAAAAATTATAACCTAGACTATTAATCTTAATATGCATAGTCCTTACACTATTTAATATAGATGATTGATATTTTATTTCTTTTATAATTTTTTAATTTTTAAATTAAAATATTAAGTTGTAAATAAAATGTTACGCTTACAATATTTCAATCAAATAACGAGTTAGGTAAGATAGTAAAAATCTGACCCAGGTCCAGTCCGACCGTGAATTGTCGATCCCTATCTACCAGTGCGTGTGTATGTAGACAAGATTTAAGGCTGCACTTAGACCTTTATAATGACCAGTCTTATGATGCCACGTTATGAGGCAAAGCTGCATGCGTGAGTATGCGAATTGGTCTAATGTTAGCGGATCTCGGGATCTGCCGTGCTGTGCTTTGGGCACAGCAGTTGTTGGCCTTGTTTGTTAAGGTAGTTTGACCTATTATAAAAAAATTAAAAAGTTAAAAAGTTATTTAAAAAGTTAAAAAAATTAATACTATTTACTAAAAATTAATAATTACGGTTGTATAATTTTTAATTTTAATTTTTTTTTACAAATTAATTTTTAAAATTTTTTATTACACATTTTTTCATAAAAAATTAAAAAGTTAACCTAAATATTTATATTTTCTTCCTCAATTTTTTAGTCTAAAAAGACAAAAATTACACTTATTTAGGACACCCCAAACAACCCCTAAGTTTCGTCTGAGCCTTTTTAATAATTGGGTAAATTATATGGACACCCTGATATTTATATTTATTATAGTTTTTTCTTTTACTTTTTAGAAATTACATTTCCTTTTGAGATTTAAAATTTCATTATAGATTTCTCCCTTTAGCAGTTTAATTTTTTTAAATACTAATTTTGCTCTCATTTGGTAAATACATTGACACCCCTCAAATTTTAGAAATTACAATTCTCTCCCCAAAGTTTAAAGTAGTATTACCAATTGCCTCCTCGGTTAATATTAGTTATAAAAAAAATTCATTGAAAAAAAAAATTAATTGGAAAAAAAATTATTTGGAAAAAAAATTAATTGAAAAAAACTTTTGTTAGTAAATTTTTTAAATTTTTATTTAAAAACCAACGTAAACTCATTTTTTGAATTTACGTTTTTTTTTTCAAATTTACAAATCGAGACAACCATTTATAAACTAAAAAAATTATCAAACAAGTTTTTATAACAGTTTTTAAAATTTTTGTAAATATAAATTGAAAACTGAAAACGAAATGGTTACCAAGCAAGCCTCAGATGGTAAAAATATCGTAAAATTAACAAATAATTAAATAAGTTACTTGAAAAATCTAGAAATCCCCTAGATGTTGATTTGTGATTATGTATCAATTTTAAGCAGAATATAACAATCCCAATCAAACAATCAAGACAAAGAAACACAGCGATTTAACGTGGAAAAAACCACAATTGGACACCTCCAACTGTGATAAAAAAACCACGGGCAACAGCCACAAGAACAATCCACTAAGAAGATTTAAAGGAATTACACAGGTATACTCTCAATTACCTAGCGAATCCACAACGCCTAATTGAACCAACCTTTATGTGCCTCTTCCAACCCCATCTTCACCACGGAATTGTCTTTCTGATGAGCCACTCCGGATTCCACCAAAGCTTCAGGCTCGAATTCTTCAGAATCCACAACTGAAGAATAACTCTCTCTTTTGTGTATAACAAACAAACCTTTGATGTACTCTCTTTAGATCATGAGTTGAATACTCAATAAAAACATCAAAGAAAACTCCCAAAGTATCCCCAGATATAAACCCTAGAAACCAAAAAGAAGATCTGGAGCCGTTATCCTCAAAATCTGACCCAACACGCGAATTTATAGAATCTGTCCCGCGATCTCCGCTCGAGCTCAACACAGCCCGCTCGAGCGGACTGACCAAAAACTGCGTGCGAACAAACTGAGATGCGCTCGAGCGTAGGAGAATCCGCTCGAGCGTAAAATCACACATTCCAGTATTTTTACAGGCGACTGCAGAGATGCTGAGAGCTTCCAATCCCCGCTCGAGCGTCCCTTTCCCCGCTCGAGCGGGAAGGCCAAAACTGGAAAAACTGGAAAAATATAACATCCCCGTCATAATCAGCGAAGTGGCAATCTTGAAAGCATTAGCATCACAAACTTCTCTGAAAAGCACAATTCGGGTTGGATTCGCATCTAAATGCTCATAGCCTTACTGAAGTAAAAGTGCGAATAAAATTACAACTCAAAGGAGTTTTGTCAAACGGGATTGCCAAGAAATAAAACCTAACATTACTAACGTAAAAATTGACTTATCAAAAAATTCTTAGGTTATGTGTGTTTTGATTTTTAGAATTTTTTTTAAAAAAAGTTAAAAGTTAATTTGGTTAAGAAATAAAAAAATAAAAAATAATTATCATTTAAGGGTAAAAAATAATTATCATTTTAACTTTTGGGCATGTTATATACATACATATGCCTGTTTCAGTTTAATTTATAAAAAATTATTTCTAACCACTCGAAAGATAAAAATTATATAAAAATGAAAATTATTATTTTTTATTTCTTAACTAAATTAATTTTGAATTTTTAAAAAAAATTCTAAAAATCAAACCATACATAACCTAAGAATCTTTTGATAAGTCATTTCTTACGTTGGTAACTTATTTAATTATTTGTTAATTTTACGACATTTTTACCATCTAAAACCTGTTTGGTAACCATTTCGTTTTCAGTTTTCAATTTATATTTACAAAAATTTTAAAAACTGTTATAAAAACTTGTTTGATAATTTTTTTAGTTTATAAATGGTTGTCTCGATTTGTAAATTTGAAAAAAAAAACGTAAATTCAAAAAATGAGTTTACGTTGGTTTTTAAATAAAAATTTAAAAAATTTACTAACAAAAGTTTTTTTCAATTAATTTTTTTTTCAAATAATTTTTTTTCCAATTATTCGATCATCTCGGCCCAATGCTCTGCTGGGCCCTCAACTTGCTCGGTCTATACCTCGGCCCAACACCGGATCATAAATCACCCTCTCACTAACCGAGGGGGGCAATTGGTAATGCTACTTTAAATCTTAAGGAGGGGATTGTAATTTCTAAAATATGAGGGGTGTCAATGTAATTTACCTATTGAAGGCAAAATTAGTATTTAAAAAAATTAAATTGCTGAGGGTGGAATCTGTAATAAAACTGTAAACCTCAAGGGGAGATGTAATTTCCAAAAGGTAAGGGGGAATTGTAATAAATATAAACCTCATGGGGTGTCAGTGTAATTTACCCTTAATAATTTGAATTGTTTATATTGTAAGATTCGTCAAGTGAATTATTTATGTAAAAAATTAAGTTTATTGGATATCTATAATCCTATAAGTAAAACACATTTATTTTTTATAAAAATTAATGGTTAACATAATTTTAATAA